TTCGAACAAAAATGAACTTGAAAATAATTGAGTACATCATAATAAAAAATAAACAATAATTATCTTTTAATAATGACCTTGTGTTTATTTATCTTTGATATGTTTCTTTAAGTTCTAATTTCTATTCATGCTTAATATATGATCCTAAATAAGTAATAAAGGAATATTCCCTTATAGGGAATAGATAGATGGGATAGCATTTCCGTTGGAGAACATACAAATCTCGTGATTTTTTCTCAAAATATAGAATATTCTTTTAAGTTAGAAACGGATTAATTAATAAGTGATAAAATAAATCCTTAGATAACTCTTGATTTCTAGCATTATTTACTTACACTACCGAATGATGTATAACCGATTAGGTACCAGTTTTGGGTGTTGTGGGGGTGCTTACCCTTCCTTATGCGTAACTAACTTCCGATCCCTAAAAAATAAATTTCTTATAAACATAGATCAATTTGTTTTAAAAAATAAATTTATATTTATTTAAATTATTTTTTAATACGTTTTAAGTACTCGACCTACCTAACCCAAAGATCGATGGTGATCCTAATTTAAATTTTATTTGATTTTTAAAATAAATAAATTTTTACACTTTTAAAAATAAAATCGTTTTCGTTTTGATAAAAAAAACATTACGAGACACATAATCCTAAATGTTAAATACATAATCTTTATTTATAAAGCCAAATAATTGGTCATCAAAAAATTTTATTCCATAAGAACTCTTGTCTAAAAAATATTTAATTTATTAAATAAAATCAATTACGAAATAAAACTTTAACCACTAGAATTACAATAAAATTTAACTTAGTTACCAATTATAATTTGGGTCAAAATATAACAAATCTCCTCATTGACCCAAATTTCATCGAAACTTCAACAACTTCAATCTTTACATAAACTGCATATTTGTTGAAACATCATTTTCAAGTCTTCAACAACTTCAATTCTTACACAATATTCATTGAAGTATCACAAGATCAATCGAGAATTACTCTTCTACAGCTGAAAATTTTTTGCAATAAATTCTTCTTTCATTTCTCTAAAATCACTAACAAAATCTGTAGCAACAAATTCCTTCAAAACTGTACGGCCCGAACTATAACTCTGATACTAATTTGTTATTATAAGATAACGACATATATAATTATCACCAAATAAATTATACACCAAGTTTTAACACGGAAAATCCTTTCAAAAAAAAAAAACACGGGCAGAAGAGAAAAAAATACTAATGTCAAGAGAGAAAAAAATACAAGAGGAGTCCTTATGGACAACCTAAGCTCTAACCCTAACCCTTGATATATATTTATATAGATAAATACTTGATTACATAAGAAACTAAATAAAGTAAAAATTTATTTTATAAAAAGCTACTTAAATAAAAAATTTCATTTTAATAAACTTCTCAACTTTTAATCAAAACAGGTTTATTACTTTCCCAATTTCTTAATTAAATTGTGAAACTATGAATTTGAACCAAACTTTAATAATATAGAAATAATATTATATTTTTAAATTAGTTTTTAATATTTATTATTAAAATTTATTTGTAAATACTAAATAAAATAGTTGTAAATATCAAATTACGTTAAATAAATTTGAATCCATAATTTTCTATAATTGTAAAACAATTTTTTATCTATGCATTTTAAATTAGTCAATTTTAAGTAAAAGCACTTTTAATTTAGAAAAAACGCCTTCATAAAAATCCAATAACAAATTAAGTTGGCTAATTTCAAGTAATAATTAGGTTGCCTAATTTTATGTAAATGAATTCGTATGCCAATGAATTATTGGTTGTTAGCATACCAGCCCATCCCTATTTAAACCAGCCTTCTTTTCCATTCTCTCTTCAGGGAGGAAGCGGAACTGATTCTATTTCATCTCCTTTCTCTCTCAACTGCCCTAAACCTCACATTTTGATTACCAAGTTCTGCAACTTTTAACATGGAGACCATCACTCGGAAGGATCAGCAAAGCAGCTCCTTGGACCCTTTGAATTGGGGTGTTGCAGCCGAGTCACTCAAGGGGAGCCATTTGGATGAAGTGAAACGTATGGTCTCCGAGTATAGGAGGCCGTTGGTGAAGCTGGGTGGTGAGACCTTGACGATTTCTCAAGTTGCAGCCATTGCTACACGTGACTTGATCGTCAAGGTTGAGCTTTCAGAGGATGCGAGGGCTGGTGTTAAGGCCAGCGCTGATTGGGTGCTTGATGGTATGAACAAAGGCACTGACAGCTATGGTGTTACTACTGGTTTTGGTGCTACTTCTCATCGAAGAACTAAGCAAGGAGCCGCCCTTCAAAAAGAGCTCATTAGGTAACATTTAATTCATGCATGTAAATATTGTATTCCATCAGAAAAAGAATAAATGAACTTTATTTATTCAGGTTCTTAAATGCTGGGATCTTCGGCAATGGAACCGAGTCATGCCACACGCTTCCCCACTCAGCAACTCGAGCAGCCATGCTTGTGAGGATCAACACCCTACTCCAGGGATACTCTGGGATCAGGTTCGAAATTCTGGAGGCAATCACGAAGCTTCTCAACCACAACATCACCCCGTGTTTGCCGCTTCGTGGCACCATTACTGCATCTGGTGATCTTGTCCCTCTTTCCTACATTGCTGGATTGCTCACTGGCAGGCCTAATTCCAAAGCTGTTGGACCCCATGGGGAACCCCTCGATGCCCAGGAGGCCTTTCGTCTAGCAAACATCGATTCTGGGTTCTTTGTGTTGCAGCCTAAAGAAGGCCTTGCTCTAGTCAATGGCACTGCAGTTGGTTCAGGCTTGGCTTCCATGGTTCTGTTTGAGGCAAACATATTGGCTGTTCTTTCAGAAGTTTTATCTGCAATTTTTGCGGAAGTCATGAATGGTAAACCAGAGTTCACCGACCACCTCACACATAAATTGAAGCACCATCCGGGACAAATAGAGGCCGCTGCTATAATGGAACACATACTTGAGGGAAGCTCTTATGTTAAAGCAGCTAAGAAGTTGCATGAAATGGATCCTTTGCAGAAACCGAAACAAGACCGATATGCTCTGAGGACCTCGCCACAGTGGCTCGGTCCACAGATTGAAGTGATCAGATTTGCAACCAAATCTATCGAAAGGGAGATTAACTCCGTCAATGATAACCCTTTGATCGATGTCTCAAGGAACAAGGCATTACATGGTGGCAACTTCCAGGGTACCCCAGTTGGTGTCTCAATGGACAATGCTCGTCTGGCTATTGCAGCTATCGGAAAACTTATGTTCGCCCAATTCTCTGAACTTGTTAATGATTTCTACAACAATGGACTCCCATCAAACCTCTCCGGTGGAAGGAACCCAAGTCTGGATTATGGTTTCAAGGGTGCTGAAATTGCAATGGCTTCCTATTGTTCTGAGCTCCAATACTTAGCTAATCCGATCACCAACCATGTTCAAAGTGCAGAGCAACACAATCAAGATGTGAACTCCTTGGGATTAATCTCTTCAAGAAAAACCGCAGAAGCTGTCGATATCTTGAAGCTAATGTCATCTACATTCTTGGTGGCACTTTGCCAAGCTATTGATTTGAGGCATTTAGAAGAGAATTTGAGGAACACGGTGAAGAACACCGTGAGCCAGATAGCTAAGAAAACGCTCTCTATCGGTGCCAATGGTGGACTTCACCCGTCAAGATTCTGCGAACAGGAATTATCCAAAGTTGTGGAATGCGAATATGTTTTTGCCTATGTCGATGACCCTTGCAGTGCTACCTATCCATTGATGCAAAAGCTGAGGCAAGTTCTTGTTGAGCATGCATTGAAAAATGTTGAGAATGAGAAGAATACAAGTACTTCAATCTTCCAAAAGATTGCAGCTTTCGAAGACGAATTAAAGGCTGCTTTGCCAAAGGAGGTTGAGAGTGCAAGGATGACACTTGAGAATGGAAATGCAACAATTCCTAATTGGATCAAGGATTGCAGATCGTATCCGTTGTACAAATTCGTGAGGGAGGAGCTCGGAACTGGGCTGCTAACCGGAGAGAATGTCGAGTCACCGGGGGAGGAGTTTGAAAAGGTGTTCACTGCCATGTGCCAAGGGAAGATCATTGATCCAATGCTGGAATGTCTCAAGGAATGGAACGGTGCCCCTCTTCCAATCTGCTAGTTTTCTTTTGTTTCAATCGTGGAAATTTGTTATCTAATACTTTTCTTTGTGTTTCACCTATTGTTGCATGATTTTTCTTGTAAGAAAAGTAAATAATATGAATGTGTATGAAATGTACGATTATTTCTTATTATATATCTCCGTGATACAAGTGAGCATGAAATATATTCTTCCACCCCTAAACTCCCTTCGAAACTCTTAATCGTAATATTTGGAATGAAATTGAGAATAAAGTACCCTTGATGAACTAGATAACTCAAATAGTTTTAGCTCAATTCAACTCAATTGAATGTTTAGTCTTAATGAGATGATCAATCAAAATCAACTGACGGCTCTATTTCGTTTTAAGGTAATGTTAAAAAAGCAAATCTAAACTAGATTACTCAAATTTTTTTACCTTTAACTCAATTGAATGTTTAGTTCTAATGAGATGATCAATTAAAATCAACTGACAGCTTTATTTCGTTTTAAGGTAATGTTAAAAAAGCACACCTAGGGCTTGAATATGCCAAAAAAACCCTGGTTAACAAAAGAAAAGATATATGGGTTAAAACTCACATATACAGTGTAAAACTTTTATATTATGTAAAACTAAAAAAAATTATATTATATTAGATAATTTTTACAAGGTAAAACTTTTTAATTTTATACACATTTAAGACGGTTAAATGAGTGAATAGGCTATTAAGATTAATAATAAGAAATGAGAAGGAAAAACACCAAAAAAATAATCTAAATCTTGTGTTTCCACTCATCCAACGGTCTTAAATTTGTATAAAACTAAAAAAAAATCAGTGTAATTGAATCATAACTCTCATATATATTGTTTTTCATGGGAAAAGTGGATCTAGGACATTGGCAGAACATGTAATCTAATTAGATTTATAAAATAAAATAATAATAAAAAAAAAAACAGCATCATAAAAAAAACAGCATTCGTTCGCTAAGAATAGACGTCGATAGGTCATTGATGAGACCAACGAAGAAACAACAATATTTGTGTCATGTTAGTTATATGGATATATTGATGATAGTGCAAGTGGTTGCAAATAGAACGGCTCACCCTGTCTCTTTTTTGAGTTCCATGGTCGATTCTCCGATCATAAACAAAGTGAAGTGCTTTGGTTTTTTGTACAAGTCGATGAGGGTCGTTCGTTAGGGTCAGGAGGAAATCCTCTAATAAACTCAGGCTTCTCCTGTCATGCAAACTTGTTATTAATCACAGTATTCAAAAGGTTTTCCAACGACAAAATCCAACTCTCGATTACTGTCATCCCGGTATAGAACTCGATGGAGATTTTCAACCCTCACTGCCAATTTTGAAAGCCGAGGATGTAGTGTCCCGAGCTTCAACTGTTGATGCTGATTCTTTCTTGTCCAACCCGAAAAACGAGCAATTTTGAAATGCATCCAGACTGCTGGCTATTAGACGGTTCAAACTTCCAAGGCTGTCACTTAGAATCAAATCTTCATTATGATACTTACGCGATGGTGCATCGAGTTCTAGTGGTCCTAAAGAGTTGGGCTGCAATGTGGAGAACAAGAAAGATAATCAGTTGTCTAAAGAATATACAACTTATCAACGAAGTCCTATGTATTAAACCTCGAAACAAAACAAACCGGCTTTGCTAATGCAATCAAAGGCTTAGAAAAGCCAACATACCCAATAAATGTCGGTCAGCCCATTGAAATCCTTTTCTGCAGTATCCATGATGTGGGCATCAGATGGAAGCTCGTAAACGAGGTCTTCACAAGCAATATCTTCAATCGTCTCCTCTGGATCAGGTGATTGCATGAAAAGCTGAATATACATAAATACCAGGCTTAGTTGACTATTCCTCAAACCTAAACAACCAAATTGTGTGATTGGAAGCAAAATATACCCTAGTAAGTGTGCCGGATCTTGCAATCTGTTTGCAGGCTGATGGGGAGGCAGCATCAGACAATCTAGCATTGTCCGTGCAAGGATTAGGATTCTTCTGAAATAAGAAGGCATCGCATGTTTCTTCGGCATCCCAGATAGAAGATGCACGGGATGCCAATGATGGAGTCTCCATGTTGTTTTGATGCTTAGATATATGAGCGGCAATAGCTGCATCAAAAGAGTCACAGCTGAAAGGAATCTGCTGAAGACATTGCAAGCTTTCTGGAACAGGTTGGTCAGCACAGTTATCTGCAAGAAGATCTCCGACACTTATGTTTGTGAGACTGTCAGCCCATTCTCCAGCAGATACTGCAGCAGTGCTACCGTTCAATCTCTGATCATTCTAAGCAAACAAAAAGGAATTTACAACGTCAAACATATGGGAATGCAATACGGAGACTCTTCATGACTACTAGATGGTGGATGTTTAAGGTAGGCATGACTTTTCTTTAAAAGAAATCCAGAACGATCAAGTGGACAGAGGAAACAACAGTTAGTTGCTTGACATCTAGCATGTTGGTTGAAAAGAGAAGCCCAAGGAAAATGTGCAAATGTCGTACAAGCCAAATGTAACGAGATTCCCATGGACCCTTTGGTGATAATAGTAACATTCAGAAGAGATGATCTATTGCACTAGCGGACAAGTTATCAGTAATTTTGAGCAGACTATTTTGTGAAGAACAGGATACTGAATAAAAGACGCATAGATTTGGGCTACAAGTTGGAAAGTTTAAAATCATAAGCAATAATTGTCAATCTCAAATAGATTCAAATTCTTCAAGAAAGGATGGACACTTACCATATCCTCCGACTGTCTCATGATAGCAACATTGCAAGCCTCACTTCTATCTAATGATACATTTCTTGCAGGGACATGGGAATCCCCGAAATTAGCTCTAGAACTAGTGTTAATGCATGTATTAATCTCATCATGAAAATCAGCTAAAGAAGGTTCAAGAGCTTGATTTTCTTTCACTAACACCGGCTGAATCTTGCAACAATCATCATATCTCTTACATTGATCACCAGTAGACGAGGCACCTTGTAATTCTTCAACAATTCGGCCATTCCTAGTTTCTAGATTCATATTATGCACACTTGGAATGCAGGACGAGGAAAGAGGTGCTTGCCATGACATAGATGCATCTTCAGTATCAGAAAACCAACCATACCTTCAAAAGGAAGGTATACATCAGAAAAGCAACAAGTACATAGCAATGAGATGTGACAAAAAATAGACAGGAAAGTACCTTAGCCGAAATACTTGGGGGCTTCCAATCATTGCAAATACATCTGCTGCACTGACGATGCTTGCTCGAGTCCATCTCTGATGACCCCTATGGTTTTCTCTATGAATACCATAAGGGAAAAGCATAAGCTCTCCTGATGCTATACTTGAGTTTCCCCATTTTCTATTTAGATGCTCTAATACTGATGATAACTTCTTCCGTGCACTTAGGGTGAGTTCTAAATGTGGATTGTGTTTATCCTAACAAGAGATAAAGACCAATTATTTCCTTAAAAATGCCTTACTGATAAGGCTAGATGCTTTATCAAAATCATTAATAAATTTCCTTTTGGTGCTCACCATTTCCATGGCTCTTCTAGTACTGTCATCAATTGGAAAGAGTTGGAGCTTAAGTTTCCCAGCAGCATGTATATTGTTCTCTGTGAAAGGATTTTGAGGGAAAGCAGACAAAGTTGGTTCATTATTTTCAACTGGATCAATAGCCTTATGCCCTGGACCTGGTGTTGGAGAAAAATTAACTTAAGGAGTTCCCAACATTCATGGTAATTTTTAATTCCTTTCAAGGAAATACTTGATAAGTTGATTAAGTTCAACATTACCTGCTGTATCATTCTGTTCATGCTCACCTTCTTTATCATTAGTCGTTCTCTCCAAATGCTCGGCAGCATCAGCAACCAAAGAAACCGCAGCAATTGCAGCCTTTTCCCATTTTTTATATGCAGATGATGAGGTACCTGCCAAGCATTGTAGAACAATACAAGTTTACCTAAAGTTGAAGGGAAAAAAGAACATTGAACAGGGAATGGGCAATGCCTTAAGACTTTAAAATATTAATAATACAAAGCAAGAAACAAAACAAAAAGTGTATAATGAAGGTTGCTATCAGAAAAAACACTGGTCATGACTCTTGACCTCAACAACAATGCTCATTATAATACTGAACATCTATAACATCATGATAGAAACACAAAACTAAATGCAAATGTTGGAAAGCCAATTGTGTCATTGTGCTACAAGAATCTGGAGATGTAGTTTCAATTTTTTTATTTATAATGGGTTGGGGGTAAAATTACCTAGTTTCCGCCGTTGTCTTGCAGGTTTCATGGTATTTGACTCTCCTTTACTGTTGCTACGGCTGACACCTACATTGTTATTACGCTTAAATGACCCTTTTCCAGGTCCTAATTTATGAATGTTTTGACCGTCTACAAGAAACAGTCTGACTGTACGAGCATCATGTCCTGAAGCCCTACTCTGATTTGTGACATCAGTTGGAGATGTAGGGGAACTATTCTCCCCTTGAGAGGGTCGTTTTCTCACAGTCTTCTTCCGGTATTTCAAGAGTTGATGCTCCTTCATTGGGACAACAGTAAAGTTAGTTCAGAACAAGCATAAAATGTCACATTCAACAAAAGGAAAGGAAAAAACATGATATAAAAAGATTCTTCTAACTAACCAAAGCTTCAACAAAAATTTTAAATCTTCGTGGTTTTAGGTGAAGTTTTGAGGCTCTGCAGCTATACTTTTCCAGCAGAGACCACCTGTAAAAGAAGAGGTGCATTTTGAATTTTAAAAAATAAAAATTGACCCTCTTTTACTGTAACTTTGTCATAACATGATACCAATATAACTCCTTAATTAGGTTTCTACTACTCATGCTTAAAATGGGCCATAGAGAAATGTTTGTATCACATGCCCTCAAAATGGAATATTAACCGATGGTTCAACATCATTATACGCCTAATATTCATCCCAGTTCAACAAATATGCTCTCAATAGAAATAAATGATGCATTACCAGCATAATGTAGTTAGCATTGATGTAATAATGAATCCTCCACATAATATAATTGATTTTATCTGGTTTTTAAAATGAAGGCAAAGTCTAAATGAGTTTTAGAATGAAGCAAAAGTTCCCAGCATTACCAGCGAAGCATTGCTGCGTTAGTATCTTTAGAATTTTTGGCATCTAAACATAATCGCGGACCCAAAAGCTTGTTCATGCGCCTCACAAGACGATAGTAATAATGCCTAACCTACAATTTTCAAAAAGAAAAAAGACGCACCAAAACATTGACAAGGGAATGTCCAACTTATATCAATAAACAATCAGAATAAATCTAGTAGCAGATCACCTGATCTTTGTTTTTACTTTGCACGCGACATGTAATTTTCTCAAAATTCTGCAAGGGATGTATGTTTCAGGAAATATTATACATCTAAAAGTTAAAAGCCAAAACAAAAGTAACCCTGACATACCTTCCCAACTTGTCGTAATGCAGTAAAGAAACTCTCTTCCTCTTGACGTGTCCAAGCAGCCCATTTCCGGGTTGGCCTTTTAGCTGGTATTAGATCAATTCATACAAAAAATAAAGGCACAATAACTATTTTCCATAGATGGCGATGATGCATCGACAGAAACAATGAAAATCATTATAAAGAGCATCAAAGTGCATTCACATACCAGGTTGCTCTGGTGCAGTATTATTAGAGGTGGACGAGGCTACATCAGGAGCTCCGACTTGAATAGGAACATTATCTTGATATTGCACCTCAGAGTGAAAGGAGACCAATGACTCTGTTTGCATGCTGACGGCATCACATGAAAACTAACACCTCCTCCCTCTTCAGATGTATATAAAATCAAGAAGCAGTCGCAAAGAATTAAGTTTAAGATCATATATAGAAAACAAAGAAAGACAGAGAATAAAGGAACAAAAATCATAATATAATCATAATAAGCAGGCTGAAAGCACCTCAATAAAATGCATTTAACCATGAATATCCCATCAAATACGAGAGATTCTTATTGAAAGATATGATCATGAATTTTATGGCTGCACAGAACCAATCAACAGCAGTATAATTTATGAATTTCACATGATCAGCTTCCTGTCATCTCCTATTATGCTATAAATTTTCACATCAATCAGAACTTTTAAAAACATTTTCTTTTTGGTAAATGGTCAAAACAAATTTATATGCTAGTGGAGCAAAAGCATATACCTAAAATTTTCTCTATTTGGATCAGAACCTTGTTGTCATATTTACAAACAGGAAGTTGAAGATCAAACATGAAACTAAGTGAACACTAAGCACGCCCAGTATCATCCAATGTGAATATCATCGTCAATGTGTTTACATTTTAACACGAGCAAATGATTATTCGATTTTTCTGGTTAATCAAATTCTTCTTTCAAATTTATTTTCTCAATGAAAAACTATGCAGAACAAAATTGATTTACATTCAACAACAATGAAACTAAACAATCCATTTCAATTCATCACACAACCAATCTTCATAGAATGTCATACTAAACAAAACAATCTTTCTTAACCATCCATTATATATCTTGACAACATTTGAATCTCCTTCTATAAATAAACCCTAAAACCAACAATTCCATCTCTGCACATGTCTGCTGGCAATAGAATTCAACAAAAACGAGAAAAATATACAGCTTTAAAATATGCAGACTCAAAAAGAAGGGGGGGGGGGGGGAACCTGTATCCTTGCTATGAAATGTGAGAACCATAATAATACGAAAAATTCGAGCTTAATTCGTTTCAAGTGCAACAAATCCAATAGAGCACAGAGAAGCAAAAGTCAACCGTGCAACTAATTGATCAAATCTAATTCCATCTTTCAAAATCAAAATAAACTAAATAGGATAAAGTAAAATATTAGAACATAACATAATTTAGACTTCACGACAGCCAAACAAAAGCTAGGGTTTCGGAGTACAGAAAAAAAATTATCGGCAAAAGCTTAATAACACACAGACAAATAATAAAGAAAATAAGGAAAAAAAAAGAAACTAAAGTTAATTTCAAGATACCTGAACTAGTAAAAGAGATTTGGAGGAACCGACGGAGCTCCAATTTTGAACAAAGGATAAATGCCGTTTTCACCGGCAGAACCTTCCGGCAGACGTCTACGGTAGACAAAAAATAATGGAGACGATATTTTCTTTATTTTTAAAAATTCTTTTCACTTTGAAGAAAAACCAAAAATAAGTTTATGTGGTAAATTATTGAAAGATAAATAATTTGGATTTTAATTTGGACCTTAAAGTTTATTTGGGTTTCTTTTTTCTAATATTATTCAAAAAGTAAAAATGGAATATTTTTTTATCTACTTTTTCTTAATTATATCACCCTTTTATTAAAATTTTTAAACAATAATTTTAAACACAAAACGCAAATACGAATATTTTAATCAATAATTAACACAATCTAATGAAAAAAAAAGAATACAGGCTAATACAAACATATTATATAAAAAAATTATATATAATAAAAATAATAAATACTATATCATATAATATAGACAAATTAACATGTGTAATCACGATGTAGTAGAGGTAGGGCACATGGCGTGCAAGAAGAAAATTGGTATGGAGATTAAGATTCCATACATCTTAGTTTTTAGGGTAATGTATACAAATGATTCTCGATTATAGGATAATATTTTATTAAGTTCCTTAATTATTAGAAGTTATAAAATGGTCTTCTGACTATATAGTGTTGTTTTATTTTATCTATCAACTATTAAAAGTTATAAAATTGTCAATCGATTATCTATTATGTTCCAAAATTGTCCTTTTTTGTTAAAAAATGTATCGTCGTATGAGATAAACGTTAATATGATAACTGAGATGTGATAGTCGTTTGTGATTATAGAATCATATTTTATCATATCACAGTCAACATGTTAACGTTCAGCTCAGGTTGTCGTCAGCTTTTTAACAAAAAATGATGAGTTTGGAATATAATGAATAGTCGAGTGACCATTTTGTAACTTTTAATAGTCAAGGGACTCAACAAAGTATTATCTTATAGTTAGGGGATCATTTGTATATTTTACCATAGTTTTTATTTCAATCTAAATACCTTTTAGGGTAGAGTTCACAAATGGTCCATCAACTAAAAGGTGTTGTTTTATTGAGTCTTCCAACGACTAAAAGTTACAAAATGGTCCCTCAATTGTAGGATATTACTTTGTTGAGTCTCCGACTATTAAAAGTTACAAAATGATCACTCAATTATTTATATATTCTAAACTCATCATTTTTCATTAAAAAATTGACATCAGTTTGAGCCAATGTCGGAGCCACGACTTGGTGAGGGTGGGCACATGCCTACCCTAAAATTGACACTTGATTATTAAAAATTACAAAATGATCACTCGATTATTCATATGTTCTAAACTCATTCTTTTCCGCCAAAAAATCGACATCAATTTAAGTCAATTTCAAAGCCATAGCTTGGTGAAGGTGGGCACATGTCTATCCTGAAATTTGAGTTTTCTTTGATTAGTTACCTATTGCATTGATGGTATCCACCCTGAAATTTTATTTATGCCCACCCCATTTAAAAATTTTGTGTTATTAGTATATGTGTGCCCACCCTAAAAAATACTCATGGATCTTCTACTAGTCTAAGTTGGACGTTAACCTGCTAACTGGAATATGATAAAATATGGTCTCAGAATCTTAAATGGATATCATATCTTAATTAGCATGTTAACGTCTAACTCAGATTGTCATCAATTTTATGGGGGGAAAAAAGACGAGTTTTAAACATATGAATAATTGAATGACTATTTTGTAAGTTTTAATAGTAAAGAGACTCAACAAAGCAATGCCTTATAGTCGAAGGATAATTTTGTAACTTTTAATAGTCAAGAGACTCAATAAAACATCGCATTATAATAAGAGATTATTTGTACACTTTACCTTGTCTTTTATTAGTTCAAAATAATAAATTTAATTAATTGAGGGTTCTTTCCATTTTTATATTCATTTCTCTACCTGATCTTCTTTATTTTCTCATTTTCATCCAATCAATTCCACCCAAAAAAACCCAAATCTTCTATTTCTTTTATAAAATTAAAATACCTAGCTGTTAAATAACAAATTCACTCAAATTTTATTAGTCAAAAGACTATCATTCAACTCACAAGTAGAGATGCACTGATGGTGTTGGAGGTGCAGTTGAACTTCTAAAAATTTTAATTTTTTAATATTTTTTATTAATCACCTAATTTTATACTTTTAACAAAAATTCTTATCTCCATCCCTGCCAGGCATGTTTCTGAGATTTCAATGGCCCTCGGGCGAACTAAAAAAATTAAACCCTTAATCAAGGATTTAAATTACAACTTGCATTTATATATTCGATCATGTTTCGTTTACCGCAATTGTGAACATAACAAATGATATTGCAATCACTGCAATTATCGTGATTGTGACTTTTTAATAACATATGCTATTCTGGACATAACAATTGTGGATATCGCGGTTTCAAATAATATCATTACCATTGCATAACGATAATTGTTGTAGTTACAAATTGTTATTTAAGTAATTATTCCTAATAACAAGTGTTAAAAAATAAATGAATTTTAAGGGTAACTTCATAATAACAAGTATTGAAAAACATGAGACTCTAATAAAAATAAATAAATTTTAATAGTATCCTCAAAATAACAAATATTGAAAAAATGAACTTTAATAAAAAGTACTAAAAAAATTGTTCTCGTAATAACAAAAAAATATTAGCAAAGAGATTAAATTTTAAAAGTACACCCTTAATAACAAATATTGAAAACATTGGGTCCCGATAATAAATATTGAAAAAATTAGGCCTCTAATAAAAATGTTAAAAAATATTGGAAAAATACTTATATAAATATTAGAAAAAAATTATAAAAGTAAGCTTATAATAATAAATACTAGAAAATATTAAAATCATAATAACCAATTTTGGAGAAATTGAACTCTTAATAACAAGAATTAGTAATAATTGAACCCTATAATTGATATAAAATCATTTTTTCAAATATAATGCATTATAAAAATTTGGGTAAATTACATGCTTACTCACTGAATTTTATTCTCTCTCCTATTTCACTCGCTGTATTTTTAATTTTTTTAATTTGTTCACTAAACTTCAAATATCAAATTTTTTTTTGTCATTCGACCATTTATTTCGTAACAGCTGAATAATATGGCTTTTTTATTAATATATAATGATTATATTTTTTTATTAATATTAAAATATGACATGTAATATTTAAATAAAAAATCACCCCACCTTGCAAGAACTAAGTACCGCAAAACAAATAAGTTAGCATTGACAAGTACTATAAAACAAAACAAACAAGATGAAATTGTTATTGCACTGTGGTAGTCTACTGTCTTAGAAGTGAATTTGTCCCGATCGGTGTAATCGCAAAAATGGATGTCGACACCAATTTTGACAAGATAATTTTAGTACGATACGACTTTTGAGAAATGATGGGTTTCAAAATCGAATTGATTTGTAGTCACCATCGACCTTTGGATTAAATAAGTTGAATACCTAAAGGCGTCTTTAAAAAACAATTTTAAGAAAAATCATTTAAAAAGACAAAATGGGTCTACGTATTACCAGAAATTTATTTTTAAGGGTTTGGGAGTTGGTTGTGTGTGAGGAAGGATTAGCACACTCACTATAGACACTAATTTTCCAGCGCCACATGTCTCCTCCCCGAAGACTCCTCCTGCAGCCAATTTTCACAGCAACCAAAGAGCGTTAGAAGTCTATTTTGTATAGGATTCTAAAAATAGTCTGCTTTTTCCATTATAAATACATGTAATCCATATCATTTCTAACACACGACTGGAGATACGAAATACAAGCAGAAATTACGAGCAATCTTAGAGTGAAATCAGAGTTTTTTTTTCCTGCAAGTTTTCGAAGAGAAATACAAGGTAAATATAGTACCTTTTTCGAGTTTACGCTTGCATGCTTGTGTCTCGTTACATTTTGTATTCGAAAAACACCAAAGAAAACGCTTTTTTGCCGATGAACAAGGGCATTTTTCGGGATCTATTTTTATAGATCTAGCCCCCGAGGCTTCTTTTCTTGAGAAAATACTTTGATTTTCGGAATGGGTGTGAAAAAGAGGTAATCTCACTCTTGGTCCCCTCGTTTATAAAAGATTTAATTTCCACCCTGAAATCCCAATTCATCCTCAAAGTGCTCCAAAATTTGTCATTTGATTTTCTATTTTTACATTCTAGTCCGTTTTCTAGATTTGAATTTCAATTTTCTTCTTATTTTATTTAATACTACATTATAGTATATATTTGATATTACTCCTGTATATTATTATTATTTATTTCCTTTTGTTGTTATGTATATACATGTATCATTATTATTTTATTATTTACTTATTTTATTTATATGTTATATTATATTATATATATATATATATTACGTTATTTCTTAATATTTTTCTTTATATATTTTTTAGTTTACAAGGTAATATGTATGTATTTCCTTTTTTACCTTTTTTCCCTTCGGTTTGTTTATTTATTTTATTTTTATTTTCTTTATTCATTGATTCATTTTTCCTATTTTATTTATTTATTTATCTTATTCCATTGTCTTTATTTTTTTATATATTCCTTTTATTTTCATAATCTCCATATCAATTGTGTTTTTTACTTTTCGTCCATATTTGTTAGTATTTATTTATTTATTTTTTCTTTATCTCTTCTTTATTTCATTTTCTTTATTTTTAATTTTTCTTCATCGTTTTTGTTTTTCTAACACTTTTCTTGATTATTTAAGGGTTCGTTTTCCAAACCTTAGAGGTGAATAATTTGGATCGTCATTTTATCTTTTAATTTAACTTACAATTTTCTTAATCAAAGACAACTGAAAATTACGTAGTACCGAAAAGGGCAGTTCAAGGGTGCTAACCCTTCATTGACTGTAACTGACTCCCGAATCCGACATATCTTTGGTAAGACGCAGATCATGTAAGAAATAAGGTGTCCGATCAACCCATTTGCTTTAAAATAAATGATCGGTGGCGACTCCTAATCCATTTTCCTAAGTCGAAGCCCAATTTCGGGGCCCAACCGAAAGACGGTTGCGACAGCTTGGCGACTCCACTGGGGACACAGGTAAGTGAGTCAGGCTAAGGTAATTTCC